GATGAGGATGAGACCATCAGGGATGCTTGGGAGAGGTACACCAGCCTCTTTCTCAGGTGTCCAAATCATGGTTTTAATGATGCGTTCAAGGTGGGCACCTTCTATCACGCCCTCTTCCCGGAGGACAAGCAGCTGATCGATTCGGTTTGTGGCGGGAACATGCTGACCAAAACCCCGCCACAGCTGAATCAACTCTTTGAGGAGATGGCGGAGAACGGTTATGACTGGGGCACTGCCAGGAGATCGAGATGAGCACCTGGACGGGGTGTGCATGCTGTGGGCACCCAGTCATCTGATTTGGTGCAGGTGGTATCGAAGCTGGTTTCAGCTATCGATCGTTCTGGTTTGATTGCAGGTACCGGACCGCAGCAGGCGATGCTCTGCCAATGGTGCGAGAGCACCCATCATATGGTGGAGGACTGCCAGGCGATGAAGGAATCGACCACACCCCAGGAGCAGGTGAACTTCATCAACAATGCCAGGCGCAATGACCCCTACAGCAACACGTACAACGAGGGGTGGCGCCAGCATCCTAACTTCTCCTAGGCTGGGCCGAATCCCAAACCACCAGTTCCCCAGGGACCACCAGGCTTCCAGAGGCCACCATATCAGCCCAGACAGGGGCAATTCCAGCAGCAACACCAGTCTCTTTATCAGCCCATGCAGGGGCAGGCTGCTCAATCACAGCCGCGGCCTTTTCAGCAGCAGGTGCAGCCCTTGCTGCCCCAGTGCAGAATGATCAGATGGCTGACCTGCGGGACTTGGTGGGTTCTCTCGCCAGTACTAGTGCTCAAAAGTTCAACACCTTTGAGCAGTTCATGGAGAAGGCCTCGGGGAAACTACTGGCTCTTGAAGCTGGTCAGAGGAACACCCAGGCTGTTTTGCAGGATATCCAGACCCAGCTGGGGAGCGTGGCCCAAGCAGTGGCTCAAAGGGCGCCTGGTACTCTACCAGCGCAGACCATCCCTCACCCGCAGACCCCGGATGAGCGGTGCAATGCCATCATGACCAGGAGTGGCAAGCTGACTGTCGATCCCCCTGCTCGGGAACCGGAGGGAGAAAGCCCTGTTGCAGCATCTCCAGCGGTTGAACAAGAAGTAGAGAAGGAGGTTGAGGTGCCTGCACCTAAACCGCAACCAGTAGTGAAGGAGTATGTCCCTAAACTCCCTTTCCCTACTCGGTTGCACAAAGACAGGCTGGAGACAGAGTTCGAGAACTTCATGGCCATGCTTAAGAAGCTGAATGTCCAAGTGCCCTTCCTGGAGGCACTATCGCAAATGCCGAAGTATGCGAAGTTTCTGAAAGAGCTTCTCTCAAAGAAGCAGAAGCTGAGTGAGCTGGCCACTGTGGAGCTCAGCGAGGAGTGCTCGGCTATTCTGCAGAACAAGCTTCCGCAGAAGAAAAAGGACCCAGGTAGTTTCACTATCCCGTGCTCTATTGGTAAATTGCATGTAGAGAAGTCCTTGGCGGATTTAGGTGCTAGTATCAATGTTATTCCATACAAATTGTTCATGAAACTAGGCCTAGGTGAACCCCGTGCTACTAGGATGACCCTTCAATTAGCTGACAGATCGGTAGTGCATCCTAGGGGTATAGTGGAAGACCTTCTGGTCAAGGTTGGCAAATTCACATATCCTGTGGATTTTGTTATCTTGGACATCAGTGAGGACACAGAGGTGCCTCTTATACTGGGAAGGCCTTTCCTGGCCACCGCCAAGGCTCTCATAGATGTGCATGATGGGACCTTAGTATTGAGGGATGGCGAGGAGCGAATAACATTTTCTGTTGCGAACACTATACCTGCTTCGTTACCTCTGCATGCTGTCTCTCACTAGGAGCACGAGTCTGTCGTGTATCCTTCTGTGCTGCCTATTTTGCAGGACCCGCCTCTCACACCTTCGCCGCCACTCCGGACCACTCCATCATCCAAAGAACAGGTCAAGGAGGAGTGGCGGCCGAAACTGCCGGCAGCTAAGCCCGCTCGAAAGAAAGCCGGCGACCACTATGAGCTGGTCCCGCCCCCACCTTGGCCATCCGAGTATTCACTCACTTGCATCCTACCGGATGGCCAAGTCGAGCTGGCAAATGCAGGTGGCCACATTCGTCGCGTCCATGGCCACCATTTGAAGCTGTACCTCAAGAGCGATGTGGATCCGCTCTTGAAGGCACCTGATCCTACACTTCCCTGAGCATCCATACTGGCGTCCAGCTACAAGACGGTAAAGAAGCGCTTGTGGGGAGGCAACCCCACCGAGGTTTGCATTTTCTTACTCTTTTTCCTTTGATTTTGTGTGTTTTTTAGTCTTGAGACGTTGATCCGGAGTTACGTGTCGTTTTTGAGTGAAAACAGGTTGATTTCGGCACCTCAGCAAGGTGCACGGCCAGAAAATCAACTTGCACGGCCGTGCGCCTAGCCTGGCCTGGCCGTGCGAGCTCTCGGCCAGGAGTGCACGGCCAAAAGCGCGTTGTGCACGGCCGTGCAGCACCCTCGGCCAGGCCGTGCAGCCTTGCACGGGCAACTTGAAGCCTCGCACGGCCGTGCGGGTACCACCCCCTGGCCGTGCGAGCTCTCGGCGTTAGTTGCACGGCCAAATGTGCCTTGTGCACGGCCGTGCAAAACCCTCGGCCAGGCCGTGTCGGCCTGCACGGGCAAAAAGCCAAGGTGCACGGCCGTGCGCCTCTGCCCGTGCAGCCGAGGCACGGGCTATATAAATGGCCGTGCACGGCCATTGTGGTCAGAAAACCAAATTTCTTCGCCGGAAACCTCTCCCCTCGCCGGAAAACCGCGCCAAACCCACCTTTTTCGACTTTTCCGCCCACTTTGGGTACTTTTTTCACCAAACCAACACCAAACCCACTCCTTCTACACCCAAAGCGGCCTATCCCCCGAGTTTGAGCGTGTTTGGGCGACATTTGTGTCGCCGGAGGCGATTTCCGGCGAGAATCCGGCGAGGCTCCGACGAGCATTTCCGGCCAGATTTTCGGCATTTCGTCGACTCCCTTGTCTTCCCCTCATCATCCCCTACACCTCTACTTGAGTCTCCAGGTTTGATTTTGTCCCTAACTATGTTAATTGTGGAGAATTGAGTGTGTAGGGTGTATGTTAGAGAATCTTATTGAATCATGTGATTTGTGTGAAATTGATTGAGGGGAATGCATGGGATGTGATTGAATTATGTTGGGCAATGTCCCATTTGCTTGTTTGAGCCCTTGTGTGCAAGAATTTGGCCAATTTCATGCGTAACTTAATAGTGCACACAAGATGTTCGATGAAATGCCTGTTTTCCATGCCATGTTGTGGCCACCGGTTGGGGCCCTTAATGATGTAGTTTGTGGGTGTATTTGCTATGGATGTGAACCTTGCGTTGCCTACTTTCTTGTGAATGTGCACCCCCACCCAGATTATGCTTGATTTATCGAGTTTTTGACCCCCGAACTATGGATGAAACCATGGTTCGGCTGCTTTCTGTTCTTAAGTGTGGGGGTGGGCTTGACCTTTTCTTTGGCTCTTTTGGTTCCAATTTGGGTTGTTGTTTTGCAGGGCAATGGCACAACCTAACTTCCAGCACCCGTTCGTCCGGGATCTCAGGAGGGGCTCCACCGGAGAGCGCTTCAAGAAAGTCGTGGAAACCCCGTTTGGCGCCCACCATTGCTGGTCCAAACGGGAGTTTCGGGAACTGCACTGCTA